GCTCGCAAGTGTCCTTTCCCTCACGTAGTCCGGGCGGGGGCCATCTTCATCCCCATCCACGTGGTGAAGGAGAAGCTCTTCCCCAAGCTGCCCGGGGCCTCCGTTGACCAAGTGCTGCAGGAGCACAAGGTGGAGCTGCGTCCCACCACGCTCTCGGAGGAGAGGACCTTGAGGGACCTGGAGCTGAAGAGCTGCACGTCACGTATGCTGAAGCTCCTGGCGCTCAAGCAGCTCCCCGACATCTACCCGGACCTGCTGAAACTCCATTGGCATGACTCCATCGGTAGCCCGGCATCTCCCGTGGAGGTCTGGTGACACCGGTGGGTCCCTGGGACTCTTCCAGGGAAGCTCCAGCCACATCTGCCTCCCAGATGCTGCTGTTTGGTTGGGAGCATCCATCGCTTGTGTGGTCCCTCAGCATCCTTGTTCTACCAAGGGTTCTGCGGAGCAGGATATTTAGCTTTTCTCCGTGGGTCATGGATGGAGAAAGCTTGAGCTGGGAGGATTGTGGTGGAGCCGGGGGGGGTTGTCCCTGCCTGCCTGGGTGACAGAAATCATCCCTGGGGTGTTGGAGGAGGTGTCGGGCAGTTGGAAGCACGCCGGGACCCTGCACGCCGCTTGTCGGACCTGTTCGGGGGGGTCCCATCCCACCGGTGACATTCCCACTGCCCCTCCCTGTCCTTTTGCTGCTGCTCGGGGCCATCACCAACAACTTCCTTTCTTACAGGTTCAAGCTCGCAGGCTGGCCAGCACCCCTCCAAGTAGGTAACTCTCCTTCTGCGCGCGTTTATACGTATTTGTAGGATTTATAGCTATTTTTGGGAAGGCGCACGTGTATTTTTGTGTATTTGCCATGACGACGAGGAGCTTGGGCTGGCTCAGGCGGGGCGCACGAGTTGTCCCGCTGGGCTGGAGAGGAGATTTGTGGCTGGGGGTGGGGGGGGCATTATTTGGGACGGGGAGGTGAAGACCCTGCCATCCCTAACGACTTCTTTCCTCTCCCAGGTAGCCCCGGCGTGGAGGCACCGGCGTGGCAAAGCGACAGCCACGGACAGCACGAAGGAAAAGGAGGCACTACGGAACGTGTCGAGGGCGAGAACCGAGCCGCCCACCCACCCGGATGGGAAAAGGGAAGGTCCCCCTCGTCCCCAAAGCGGGGTCCCCTCCCGGCAGCCATGGGGGTGCTGAGCCGAAGCAGGCGATCCCCAGCGGACCCGCGGGGGAAGATGCTCGGGCACCCGAGGATGGGGACGGGTCCGCCCAGGATGCCGGCGGTCCTCACGGGGACCCTCCGAGGGACGATGCTCAGGGTGGGGAACAGCGAACCCGGTGAATTGGGAGGGAGCGGCCGGATTTCCAGCGGAGCCGGAGCAGCGGTCGTAACCCGCACGGGGAGCGTGGAAACGGAGAAAAGCTGGCTGCTGCGGGGGGTGATTTATCACGGTCCCTCCTCTCGCCCCTAGCTCGCCCCTCCTGCTTTCCGCACGCCGTTCCCAATAAACGCGCCTTCCTCCCGGATTTTAATCTGTAAAGTGCTACCGAGACTTAACCACAACGTTCAGGGTCAAGGGAATCGCAACTTCTGTAGTTACAGGACTTATTTTTGTTGTTGTTTTAAATGAAGACATTTTTAAAATGTTACAGATTTACCTTTATAAGGAGCTGCTGCCTTCAGGTTATGTGGTTGTTGGGGTTTTTTTTAAAAAAAAAAAGAAAAAATATAGTAATTTATACTTGTCTTTTTATTTAAACTCACGGCTTCATCTGTTTATACTGTGCCGGACCGAGGCGGCGGGAGCGATGCTGAGAGTTTCGGTCCCGATCGTAGCTGGAAAAAGGCTGCGAGAAAGATGTAAAGACTGTTAAAGAAAACCCAAACCACTTTACGACACGGATCCCAGCTGTCCCGACGGAGAACTTGGGAGACGCGGGTTTGGGGACGACAGAGACGCGGTGACCCCGCTGTGACTCCGGCAATACACAGCAGAGTCCTTACAAACTCGACACTCAGGTGTTTTTCCAGCTGATGCGGGGCGTGGAGGAACAAAAATGAGGATTTTTATTATTTTTTATTTCACTACAGGAAATATTTATTTTAAACTAAGAAAATGCGGGGGGGGGGGATAATAAAAAAAAAAAAAAAAACAAAAAAAACCCTCCCCAAACTGTCCCATAAACTCTTTT